AACCACTTGCTCATTTATAACAAGTTCTTTAAGTTCAAACAAGATACTCAGACACTTCAAAGTAACTTGATACTTTTTTTCATTACAATAACTGGTACAAGTGTTAATATTTGCACTTTATGGCAATAAAAGGCATTTACAAAATCTTTATTTAGCATTTTGTCAGATATGCTGTTAAAGAAGCTTCATCAATACCATATGTTAATAAAACCATTTTTCCAATTCTATTTATTGCGTCGCCAAAATTTCATTTTGCTGACATTTTTCAATTTGACTGGTTAAATTCTGAGCAATTCTATAGAGGTATCAAACTTAACCTTTTTCTTACTTCTTTGTTTCCATTCCTCCTGTGAATCAAAACTTTCATCATTTCTACTGATTTATCAGCAATTTGCTCAGAATTTCTGACCTGGAATTACATTATTTTTTTGTAAAACCATTGCCATGTCTAGAGAAATATTTACATTGGCTAAAAACATATCACACAGAAATATTTACATTGGCTAAAAACATATCACACAGAAATATTTACATTGGCTAAAAACATATCACACAGAAATATTTACATTGGCTAAAAACATATCACACAGAAATATTTACATTGGCTAAAAACATATCACACAGAAATATTTACATTGGCTAAAAACATATCACACAGAAATATTTACATTGGCTGAAAACATATCACACAGAAATATTTACATTGGCTAAAAACATATCACACAGAAATATTTACATTGGCTAAAAATTTAAATAAGTTTTAAAGATTTAAAAACTTAAAATTTTTTAAAAAAGGTTTAATATTAATTTCAAAACTTGAAATTTAATCATGAATTCAATCAAATATATTTCTTTTAACTTACATATTAACTATAATAAATGTTATCTTTGTAATTTTCCTCTCAAAATATTTTTCATAGAATTTCTCATGATAACAGAATATAATTTTGATTTAACTAAATTTATCTTATAAATCTGCTTATGTCATTATTTCTTCTTGCTGTTCACAAGAAAGATCTTTGAGTTAATAAAATAATGAATAAAACCTAGAAAATCCGGTTTTGTGGCAATAAATGTTGAAAGTTTTTTCAATGTCACATTTCTCCATATTTATCATATTTATTGTTTTTGATATCACTAGCTAAAAGAACAACTAAACAATAAAATTCTTGCATTTTAAGACATTTAAAGACATTTAATCTTAACTCAAGCTTCCAACACACCATAGTGTTTTTTCCAAAAATATTCTGAAGTGTTAGATATTTAACAATTTGAAATAATAAATAAAAATGAATCCAAATGCAACAAAACAATTTACCAAGTTTGAAATACAAGCAAAGCAATTTGAAAACTAAAAAATATTTTTTTCATTAAGTTTCTAAATTCTTTTTTAGAAATAGTTTATCACTATTAATTCTTTTTCATGTAAAAAAAAATCTGGGAAGGTGGGGGGCTATTACCCTTTCCCTTTTTTCCCCTTCAAATGTCCATGACTATGAATATGTCCCATACTAGTTATTAAATAACTCTATATTGAAGTTTTAATTAAAAAATCTCCTTCATTACAAAATTTAAGTTTTTCAAAATTCTGAAAAGATGTTATTTTTGAGTGCTTACTTTAATCAAGTATTAGAGAGACAATACACGAATCTAATTTTTTTCAGTAGACCTAAGATAAAGTAATGATATACAATCAATATTTTTTGCCAGCGATTTTAGAGTGACAGCCTATTTTAGCTCCTATCTAGCTCCATTTTAGCAAAAATCTATTTGGTTTAAATTTAGGAAAGTTCTCTGAACCATTATCAAGATATTATATGTCAAAGTTGCTTTATTATCTCTTCGGATAACAACAAAAATGCTGAATTAGCATTATTTCAATTGACAATATCTCAACAATCCATGTATATTTTTAACTAAAATTTTTACAGTCATTTTTTATTTAATATAAACTGCAAATGATGTAAAAATAAAACAATTCTGAGATATAAGGGTGACATGGTCTGGATGATTTCATATGGAATGACCCTTATTTAATATTAATTTAAATATAATAATTTCCAGAGTTAAGAGATAGAATGAAGCCATTAAACAGTTTTATTTGCTTTTCACCAGACTTGCTCTTCATCTTCAGATCTTGGAATTAATAGCTATTATTTTTTGATTCACAAAGTTTTAAAGTTTAAAAACAAAGTAGATCCTAGGCCATATGCTTGACCTAGGAATATACTTCTGTATAAATTAAAATCAGGTTTGAATTCTATCACTGTTCTTTTTTCAGAACATGCTTATTCTTAGCTCTTCTTCACTCTTTCTTTTTATTCTTTCTAAGACTTCACTTTTTTTTTAATGTTGTTTTGATTCAATTGACAAAATCTTGTCTCTTTACCTCTTTGTCAATATTGTTGTTATTGATAACAACAATAGAGGAAGTCCCAACTTTGAACGGTGGTCCACTGCGTTGCTCTTCAGAAACTGTTGTACAGCTACTTTTAAACTGCTGTACGCATTTGTAAACCTTGGAACAATCCAAACAATTATCTCCATACACTTTTAACATTCTTTTGTGGATTTTACAATTTTTCCCCCCTTCTGCTTCTAAATATCTGACCACAACTTGTTGTTCTTCCACAAAGCGGATTTGCCATTATTAATTGAGTAAATTTGAGGCTATATTTACAAAATATGTTTAAACAACTTAATTATATTATTCAACTGTAATCAATCAACTATCATATATCAATACATTAATCAATCAATTTAAAACTCAACTGTGTAGTATTTTTTTATTTTTAAATCAATAAGTATTAACTGGAAACTTCTCATAATATAAGATAATAATATTGAATCAATCTTTTTTTTCTTCTTAAAACATTTAAAAAGTTATTAGACTCTCTAAAAAGTGTTAACAAATAAACCAATCAAACTTCAATCGAAACTCTGGATCACTTCTGATCTGCTTAAATCAATTTCTTCTAAATTGGGGTTTGTAAATAAGAGATTTTCTTTTGCTTGTTGTTCCACCACGACTAGGAGCTATAGTTTTCATAGTCTCTATAGTTTCTCATGACCTGACTTAATCTGCCATTGGATCTGTAAATGGAATGCTACAATATCAAAGAACTTCATTAATTTTTAAAAAAAGAATTTGTTTTTTCAAATTAAATTAGTAATCACAAAAAATTACTTGTTTTAGCTAAATCACTGGAGAATATTTAGAGGATGGGGGGAGAGAACTCCTAAATAAACAAATAAATTTTCACAAAATAGGAGAATACCTAATTTGTGAAAAAAAAAAACAGGTGAATAAAACTTTGTTAGAAGAATCAGCTCAAATATGACAGCAGTTTTCCATGGGAGGTTAGTATTGAAGAATAATCTGAGAAAATGTAAAATAGATGTTTACAAAGGGGTACAAAAGTAGCTGTACAATATTCTGCTATTTAAAAAAGGCAACACACTGGATTGAGGAAACTACAGGCCAGTTTCTTTACCTTACACAGTATGTAGAGTTATAAAAGAAATTGCTAAACCAAAAAGATTTCAAAAAGTCAATAAATTTTTCAAAAAGTCAATAAATTCAAAAAAATCAATAAATTTTAATAAGAAACCAAAAATTAATTTACAATAAAAAAAAAGAAAAAGATGATTAAATTATACTAAGAAATCTATCATTATTGATCATCACAAGACAAAATATAACTTAAAGAAACTACTATTTATATTATTATATATAACTGTCAAATACAAAAAAGATGTCATCAGAATCTTCTGTATAAAACCAATATTATATTTAATGAATTACATTTTTATTAAACAAACCATATATAAATTTGCTGAAGTAAATTCAGGGGAAGGAATCTATAATTACAGTATCAGATAACTTGAAAAAAAAATATCTTTTCAGATTAAGTTAGATGAGTTAACTTTATTTTTAAACACAGAAACATTGTTTGTAATTATAGTTTCTAAGGTCAAATTATTCCAAGTGCCAGCAACTTAGTGAAAAAACTATATTTTTAAAAAGCTATATGACAATGTTTGCATATTTTATAAATATGAATGCACAAATAGTTATTGTTGTTAATCACAAAGAACATAGAACTTTTAGTATAAACTATATTATAAAATTTTTAAAAATGAGTTAATTTCTAAGTCATGTTTAGACGCCTAGTAGTTATGTGATTGAAAACTTTAATATCATGTATGCATTTTATTATACATAACCAGAAATCCAGACGATAAATGCATTTTTTCTGAATCTATTTTTGTTTTACGTGCATTAAATATTTTTAACAGATATTAGTTATAATAATAATTTTAATCTATATATCTTTTATTATATTATTTTTTATTTTCAAAACTAATATTCATAAAAAATCATAACAAATTAATATCAAAATTGATAGTTGATAGCTTAATTTAATTAATTACAAAATCAATAGTGATTTAAATCTGCAACATTATCATGCTTAGGCCTTAAAAAATTATAAGCTTTTATATATATATATATATATATATATATATATATATATATATATATATATATATATATATATATATATATATATATATATATATATATATATATATATATATATATATATATATATATATATATATATATATATATATGTATATATATATATATATATATATATATATATATATATATATATATATATATATATATATATATATATATATATATATATATGTTGTCCAAGCATTGTCTAATATATATATATATATATATATATATATATATATATATATATATATATATATATATATATAAAATATATATATATATATGTATCAACTTGTAATTTACATGCAAGTAAATTAAATTATTTACTAATTAATTTATTATGAAACATCAAAGCAATAAAAAAAAAAGATATAATACAACAAAATATTGGTTTATAATACTTGCAAAATAATGGTTATTCCCTAAAACTTTTAATACTCTTTCTACTTTTAAAAATATATTACATTACCTGTTTGACCTTTACCAAGAACATGTTGAAGTGTATATGGTCCTACCCCCCGCACTTCACTCATAATGCCATTAAAATAGAAGACATAAACCCATAGTTCAATTTTTTCACATTTGTATTCAAGCAAGTGTTCTTGTATAATTAGCTATGTAATGCTAAAAAAAAAATTAGTAATACTTTAAAAATATGATTGTCAAAGATATATTAACAATAAGGCACTGTGTAAATGTTAAAATAAAGTGAAATAATACTGTGAAATTAACAAGATGCAAATGAAAATCAAGCCTTTGATATATAAGACCAAAACACATGCTATTTACTTTAAACAATAGTTTAGCACTTTATTTTTAGCAGAAAAATCGATAGCACAAAACTACTTTACTTGTATTTGAACTTTTTAATGTCTTCTTATATATAGCAACTTATATAGTCAAAGTATAAATAATTAGCACATTTTTCGCACTTTTTTCTCAACCTATTTAATTATCAACCTCTTAGCCTAACTATATAACTTATAAACAATACTTCATAATAACTTTTCAAAATTTAAAAAAACTAAAGTTAAATCAAAGTACTTTTTACAATTAACTATTTAAAAAATGTATAAACTTGTTTTAGTTATTTTGCGAACTTTTTCAATGAGTTACTAAAATGACGTTTAACACATTAATATGAGTTATTTATACGCTTTTCATGTTTAGGTTTTCTTACACCACATGTTCTGTTTGTCAAACATTTGTTCAAGCTTTTTATATCTTTTCACCTTCATTAAACTAGCTACTTGTAAAATAAATAAATAAATATTATAGTTAACACAAAATATTTTTACTTTTCAAATTATCCAATTTACGATTAATAAAGCATTAATTAAGACTTCATAATTTCTTTTATTATTTATTAAAAAAAAATTAGGTTATTTTGTCAGTTATTTTTTATCGGGTTATAACAACAAAGGCGGATCCTGGTAAGAGATAAATAATTGTATACCGAAAACAAAAAAATATTTTTACACTAAATTCTAGTGTATTTTGAAAAACGGTTCGAAATCGTTCCGTGGGCGTTTAAATTCCGCATCCTAATAAATGTTATTAATAACAACAATAATAATAAAAAGACAATGTAACAAGTTAAATAAAGTCTAACAATAGGAAAAATAAGGAAGAAGTTAAAAAAAAATCCTGGAACTATTATTAAAAAAAACTGTAAAGAAAGCACCCTGATATTACCATTGAAAAGCTTTAAACTTAAAATTAAAGGGCTTTAATTTTACGTTTAAAGTTAATCTTGTAACGGTTAGATCCTTATCACGGTGCTTTTCTCACCTAAATTTAGATGACATAAGTTTGATATTGACAAAAATTTATTCTAAACTGAAATATTTTCAAACTTTTTAGAAGTTAGATGAGTTTAAATTCCTACAAATTTCAGTTTCCAAACTTCCAAACTAATTAATATAAACATTATATATATATATATATATATATATATATATATATATATATATATATATATATATATATATATATATATATATATATATATATATATATATATATATATATATATATATATATATATATATATATATATATATATATATATATATTTATGTCAGAGCCGTAACCACCGGGGGGACCAAAATGCCATATTAATTTTTGTATTTTTTTGATTTATATATTTAAAAAGTGTATTTTTTTAAAGAGTACTCTTTAGGTTGGTGACAGCCGTCCGGAAAACAAAAAAATTCAAGTTGTACATATGAAAGGGGTAGGTAAAAAATATTTTAATAAATAATATGATAGTTGTTATTATGGCATGATCTGTCTGATTATAAATTATGTTTTATCTTTTGGTAAAAATCTTTACCAACAGTCATCGATGACTGAAATAATTGCTCCTACCCATTAGAAACTAAATTGTTTCTATTTGGAAGATAAGAGCAGGAATGAAAATTTTTTGCTATTTTAAAAGGTTTTGTTCATTTTAGTGTAAATGTATGTCAAAAAGCGATACTTTCAAGAAATATATATGTATATATATATATATATATATATATATATATATATATATATATATATATATATATATATATATATATATATATATATATATATATATATATATATATATATATATATATATATATATATATATATAGTTCTTGAAGATATATATATATATATATATATATATATATATATATATATATATATATATATATATATATATATATATATATATATATATATATATATATGCATATATATATATATATATATATATATATATATATTTCTTGAAAGTATTGCTTTTTGACATACATTTACACCAAAATAAACATAACCTTTTAAAATAGCAAAAAATATTCATTCCTGCTCTTATCTTCCAAATAGAAAATTCAAACTTTTTTACCAACGTTTTTACAGGCAGAAATACCAGTAGACTATAGAATGAACTATTTGAAAAACTATAACTGAAAATCTATTCTTGAAAAGAAGATAAGTTATGATAACCTAAAGAGATTTGACTACGAAAAAAAAAATGGACTCCTTTTGGAAAAGCAGGTATAATTTGATTATGTTGGTTTGATTTTTAGTTGACTTGTCCTATTTAGATTGAGTTAGAGCATAATTTTTAATAGTAAAGCTTTTGATAAATATTTTGGCTACTGAACCCTCAATATTTTTTCAAAATTGCCTCAATTATAATATTTTCAAGAAAAGGCTACAAGTGTTTCATCATCCAACTAGCTGTTTTTTGGTTAATTGAGTAAATGGCTTTCAGATAGTTACACATTATGGCAGATTTATGGGACATAGAGATTAACATGCAACTTTCTTCGGCCACAATACGAAAGTTTATGGCCTAATTTAATAGCATTGTACAAAATAAGCTAATTCATAAAACAGTTTCGTTTACAACAGTTCCATGGTCAAACTCCAATCATAGCAACAGCACTTTCTATAGATCTTAAAGCTTAATGACTTTCATTAAACATTACTAGTCTTACAATAGGAGAAGCTGTGCTGAAGTCACTTAAAAAATAGACTTGGTGCTTAAACGAAAGATTAACGGTTATGCGCCTAGCTTATAAATACACCAACAAAAAACTAAATTAAAAATTATGTCACTGGTCTTCATGTTGTAAGTGACATTGCACAATGTGCTAATAGACTCGGTCAAAACTTCATCGAAACTTTTAGAAATGAGAGAGTGAAGCAAATTCATTGGATGCGGCTAATCATTGTTTGAAATTTCAAATAACAGATAAAAAATCTTCGATGAAAACGTAAAAATAATCTTACTTTAAATGATAAATTGTAAAAATTTTTATATTTCAAATGCATAATAAATAATTTTTACAAACTTCCCTCTCATTATTTCAAAAAAAGCCAAAACATACTTGAAAGTTAAATAAATGAAGCTAAAAAAATAATGGCATTTTTAAACATTGGTAATTACCATTGTTTAAAACCTACCCCTCAAATATTTGCTTTTATTTTTGGCATTTTCAGCTTGCTGGGACCAACTATAGAAGAACTTATTTGAAAAGATTTGTTTTCTACTTTTTGAAAATTTTTATTAAAAGAAACCGCAAAAGTTAATTTTTATTTTAATTTTTTATTTTTAATGTTTTATGGCACACCCTATTATACAACATGAAACCTCTTTTTTTCTATAGCGTGTTTTGCTTGTAAAGTTTTGTTTACACAGCGCAAATAGTAATAAGCATTCAGCAGAATGAAATTAAAATCGAAACAAATTTTAAGAAGGTTTTACTTTTGTTGTAATGTTTATATTAGTTTTTTATTTGGCGGAAATTGTAGACAATTAATCTCAAATAAAGCTATTACAAACGTATCGCGTGTTGGACGTTTGTCCGCGAAAGAAGTGTCGCAACGGCTCTTTTGTTATTTACATCATTTTTTTTTTCTCTTGATGCTCCCGTTCTATAAAAAAATTGCAGTTCAAATTGATGGTTTTTTAACTATTATTAAAAAAAAAAATTTTTATGTTTCTATTGAATAACTAAGTGGTTTTCGATTGTAGCATGAGAAGTTTTTTTCTTTTATTTCTACACATAAATTGTATTTATTGTCTCTTCCATTACCTACATGAAACAAGTAATGCATTCTTGATAGCCTAGGATTAGGGTTAAAACCCTTTTTGGATAAATTTCAATATCAAAAACTTTTATTTCTCTTGAGCAAAAGTACGCTTATTACATTTTTTTTATTTGTTAGTTTAGTATCTGTAAAATCACTCAACCGTTTACAAACTTGTGTATTTTTTTTATTCGACATCCAACTCAAACTAAATATAAGCTTTTTTCATGTCTTACTTAAAAAATATTTTTGGACCATACATTTTATTAATTTTCGAGTCATATGGAAGTATTGGTTATTTCTACCGTTAAATTGCTGTGTACATAGTTCTAACATTTAGAAATGATCGTACAGACTTATTAGCTTTTGGTAAATTTACAAAATTACTTATCCATTCTTGTTGTCTTTAAACATTTTAAATATTATCAGCTTCTTCAAAACACTTTAATTCTACGCATACATTTTTCAAGGTGATTAGGATTACGACTTAAGTTTATCGCAACCGGTTGCCTGTTTTCGTCTACATGAAAGTTGCATTAAAAGTGACTGCAACAAGCATAATAATACTGCAAGTTAACATAGTTTTGATTTAGAGGAGACTTAACTGCGCATCATTTGTTTACAACGTTCAAAAGCTGAATGCTTTCAATGCTCTCGCGGAATTAGCGTTGAGGTATAAGGAAATATTGTTGTTGATGACTTTTTAATATTAATTTAGGATTTTGGTTTTTATTTTTTTCAAAAATGTATTCGTCAAAAAAATTCACATTAGAACCTCTGTCAATCATTTTTATTATAAACATTTCTGATAATACGAGATTGCTCTCTCAGTTTTGCTCTAAATATTAGATCAAGAGCTTCCCCTAATTCATTCTCTGCTTTCACATTTGTATTTATTATTTATTTCTTTGTCTTTTTACAGTTTTTTTTCTGTAATTAATTTCAAAATGTGTCTTTCCATTAAAATGAACTAGGCGTGAGTCGAGAGTCACTTGCTAGCTAGTTTGACAAATTAAATAGCCTTAAATTTCATTTTCTGCGATTTTTGTTTTGTTTTTAATAATGCTTTAAACCACCTAAAATTTAAACTTTATTAAATTTAAATTTAAATTTAATTTATTTAAATTTAAATTTAAAACCTGAGTTATAAGGATTCTAACAATAATTTTGGTCAAAACATTTCGAAAAATATCTGTAATTGTAGAGATTAAAAAAACTTTGCCAGAAAAATTCTTAGAATCTCAGCTTTTTATATACTATAAGCCTTCAAAGAACGTCGATGTTCTATAAGACTCCAAAGAACGTCAATACTCTTTAAGACTCTAAAGAACGTCAATAATCTATAAGACTCCAAAGAACATCAATATTCTATAAGATTCCGAAGAACGTCAATATTCTATAAGACTCTAAAGAACGTCAATATTCTATAAGACTCCAAAGAATGTCATTATTCTATAAGACTCCAAAGAACGTCAATATTCTATAAGACTCCAAAGAACGTCAATATTCTACAAGATTCCGAAGAACGTCAATATTCTATAAGACTCCAAAGAATGTCAATATTCTATAAGACTCCAAAGAACGTCAATATTCTATGTTTAAACCTGAATCAAAAGATAAATCTTTCCTGGTACTCAGACTTAATTTGATCTCTGAATTTATACCCAATGATTTTACTTTTCAAGGTGGATTTTTTTCTTATTTTCTCCCAAATATAAACAACATACATTATATAAATCTGGCTCCAATATTATTTTTTAAATCTATAAACATTTATTTATTTATTAACATTTTTATATTTGTTATTTACATTATTCATATTATTTACATATTTTATTATTGCTTAACAGTAATCTTTTTTACCCTCTTCAGCAAAAGTTTATCAAAATTGTAAAAAATAAAAAATATTGTTTGAAAGTAAAAGAAGCATCATAAAAGTAAATAACGAAAAAAGAACTTTTCTCGCTATTTGCCTTTATTTTGATTTTTTATCCAGTTTTGTTTGTCAATTTTATTAACTTTAATAATTTAGCAACTCTTTCACAGAAAACTTTTATAAGTTCTTTTCAATCAAGTATGGTGTTTTAGGAAATATTGTCTGATTAAATGCTATGTGTTGTGAAATATCTAACGCAGTTGGGAGTCGATCAACTAAAACGTAATACAAAAAATTCCGTCAGATTGCTATAATTTAAGCCAAATCGTTATAAATTTCGGCTCGTTTGACTTTCCTAATAATATATATGTACTTTTTCCATTTCTCTATTATGTTTTTCTTTATCACTTTTCAATAGTTTTTCAGCATAATTTGCACTTTGCAACTTTTTAGCAGTTTCTTACTATTATATGCATTTACAACATTTTCTATGGTTGTTGTTTTTTTGATTTTTTTGAACACTAGCTTCTTTAAAAACATGAAACTGAAATGTTTACATATGCAGTATACATTAATATTAGTTTACAATCATCGATATATTCTTTTAACTAGTTTTAGAATAAAATAAAACCTTTTAGGATAAAGTAAAACGTCTTTTATAAATCATATAAATTTAAAAAAATCTTTTATTCAGTGAGAAAAATTAAAACAATAGGAAAATGCAGACAAGCAAATATTGCAAATGAAATTTTAAGTGTGTTTGCTATTTTGATTTAAAAAAATAACTTTGAAAAAACCAGGATAGACAACAATCTCAAAAAAAAAAAAAAAAAAAATTGGACTTTTGTAAGCGCATAAAATTTCTTTTTTAAAATTGCTCAAAGACATTTAACTTAGTAAATATTTGGGATATTTTTCAGGGTACTTAAACACTGGAGCAAAAGCGAAACTCAATAGTTTTGAAAATAATAAGATTACATATTTATATAGCTATTTATATAAATATTCAACAGCATAAATGCATAAAATAATACAGCAAATTATTAAATTTTTAAAATCTATAAAACATTGCAGTTGGCAACTGTCAATGTTTTATAGATTATTCTTTGATGTATTGATAACCAATGAAGAGATTTCAGCAGTATTTCTGATTTTAAATAAAACGGAGAATGAAAAACAATACGAGATAAATTATTTTGAATTTGTTGGAGTTTTTTAAGATTTTTTCAATAAGTGCCAGATAAATGGCTGTTACAATAGTCAAGCTGAGAGTTAACCATGCCTCAAGCAATTATCTTTGGGGCTTTTTTGGCCAGACATGGACGAATGTGGCGAAGTATACGAATGTGGTAATTGCAGGATTTAATAATGTTGTTTATGTGCTTGTCCATAGAGAGCCTTGAATTTAGGGTGACTCCAAGGATTATTACAGAATTTATTGTAGTTAGTGTGGTTCCAGAAAATGCAATATTCGAATTATTTTTATATTTGCTAGTTTGTTTTCTAGATTCAAATAATACCCAGCGGGCATTTTGACGTCCTAAGTACGTTTATCAGACGTCCTAAGGCTCGTCCGTAAGACGTCCTTAGTTGGTCTCAAATGAAAGACCTGAGGACGTCTATTACAGACGTCCTAAAGACGTCTTTTTAAGACGTCCTAGGGATGTTTATTGTAGACGTCCTAGAGACGTCTTTTCAGCCTTTCAAGAATGTCTAGGTAGATTTACGTCTCTAAGACGTCTTATTCAGACGTCCTAGAGACGTAAATTTACCTAGACATTCTTTTAAAAGTTATATAAAAATGCAATGATATGCAATACACACCTTAGATGGCAAGTGAACCCAGCGGGCACGGGACGTAAAAAAGACGTCCTTTGGACATTCAATTAGCGTCCGTCCAGTGGCGGAACTACTGGACGAAGGACCCTGCGTTGTGGGGGGGCCTACCAGCTATAGGGGGCCCTCATATAAAAAAAGTTATACTCTCAATAATATTTATACTATAAAACTCTTTTCCGCAAAAAAAACATTCTTTTGCGGGGGGGGGGGGGGCAAATTTTGAAGTTCCGCCACTGCGTCCGTCCGTCCCATTTTAATAGACATTTCTCTAATTCGATTGCGCAACCATTTTCTCATCATGAAAAAGAGGCCAGTAAGGACAAAAATGTAAACAAATAGCGAAAAACTACTTGAGTAATATTTTTAAATAAATTATCTAATAAATAATGTATGGATTTAATAGCGACTGCCTTAAAAATAAAATAATTTAGTATCTAATATTGAAATATATAAACAGAAATAAAAAAATAGAAAAAATTTAAATTTGAAAAAATGTGTATCTTTAAAGAAAGATATGTACAATCTATTTACAAAATATGTAAAACCTATTGCGTTTCTCCCTGTGTTCACAAGACACAAGTTCACAATTAATAGTTATATGGACAAACGTTAAATGAAAAAAAATATTTAAAAAACTTAAATAATATATAATAAAAATTTTTTGAAACTGAATTGTTAGCTCAACTATGCAACCACTAGCAACTCCGGATGAACTTGTTAACAAGTCCATCTGGACTTGCACCAAGCCAGTGGTCTTTTAGTCATTTTAAAATCGATTTAAAGGTATATTAAATTAAAATAATTGTTCTTACACTAAAATAAATGAATTTTCCTTACACTAAGAGAAATGCAAACCTTAAAAGAAAATGATTTAGTCAAACAATAAAAAGTTTATACTGGTTCATTACCTACAGGAGAATTATTTCTTTAAAAACATCACTCATTTGGCTATTATCCACAAGTCAAAAATGGACTTATCTGGACTAATGTTTGTTAAAAGTTTATGCTTATAACAAAATTATTATTGCAAACACTGACTTTGATTAATGCTAGTTTTTAGATATTACTGATAAACTTTTTTTAATAAAAAATATATTTTATCGTGCTTAATAATAAATATTATATTTCTTATATTTTTACTGTTTTATAAGAACTGTTTCATAAAGTTTACATAAGTTTTCATAAGCAGTTTACAGTCCAAATTTGATTAGTTGATCCATATAAAACAATTTTTTTCATTTCATAAAACATTTCCTTTCGTTCTTGCTTTTTTTAATTATTTGTTGTATGGCACATTCCAAATTTTTATGCTGCTATTGGTGCTATTGTTGTTGACTTTCTATAACCTCTTCGTTCATTTAAAAAGGCAAGAATGTTTAGTGTTACATCTAAAGGTTTACACAGATCATTAAATAAAAAACCCTATCAGCCGTTACAGAATCATCACTCTCCCATAGCTTTTTTTTGCAAAGGCAGTTGCTTAACTATGAAAAACAAATATCAGAGCCAAAAAAATTAGTTTACTAACAAATGATAATGCACCAGAAAGAGCAATTCCAACTAATACTTTATAGGTAATGCAGTAAACTGTACGTTGGAAGGTTTTTGACAAAACAATTTGATACAATTAATAACTTTCACTTGAGGATATGTCTCTTTAAAACATTTAGGTATATTATGTTTAAGTGATTTAAATTTGGCCAAATTTGTTTTGCACAAAGTTTAAGGTGTATAAAACTTAGCTGTGTATATAAGGTATTTCTAAACAGATTGGTACTTTAAATAACCAGATAAGTAAGCAAGTGAAACTTCTTCAAGTAAAACTTCAAGTCTAAGCTATGTTAAAAACATAAATAGTTGGTCAATCAGTTTCATTTTTGACCGCATATGAATTCTGGTGTGAAATATAAAGGAGATGAAAACAATTCTTTAGGTAGCCTTTTCTCAGAAAATTATTTTCCATGTTTTCACATTCTTTTTCAAGATTTAAACATTCAAATAAAACTTTTCATTTTTTCATGCCAGTAAATGAGTTGAAATATTTAAAATATTTAACTTTCAACATTTTCGTAGTTAAAAATATTACTTTTGAATTGTTTTTTTTTTTTTTTCATGTTTTTGAACTTTTATATTCTTCATGCAAGCTTCTATAACTTCTATAACTTTCATGACATACTTCCAACTTTTTTCAATGAATGTTTTTTTGGATAACAAAAGTTTACATTTTTTATAATCAACTTTTTCCGTAGAATCGATTATTGTATGAGTTTTTTTTATAAATATTAGCTGTAAAATCTAGATATTTTGACTTTTTTCATGGAGATTTTCTAGGTAATTTCTTTTGCAGTGTGTTGAATGTCAATAATTCGTTTTTCCAAGCTTTGTAAACATCGAATTTTGTAAGCATCAACTTTATTTTTCTCCGTATTGCTATTGTAAAACGAACTTCCACATAGTGTTATAAAACAATACATTCTTCTTCAATCTTTTTTCATTTCCTTGTTGGAGAAAGACTTGTTTAAAAGAGAGAAATTATTATTTAAATTTAATTATTTTGAATTTGAGTTTTTATCAGTTTATATTTTTGCCCTTACTGGCCTCTTTTTCAAGCTGAGAAATTAGTTGCGCAATCGAATTAGAGAAATGTCTATTCTAAACGTCTTTTTCGCGTCCAATAAAAGATCCAGAGTGCTTTATTAAATCGAAATTAATTTAATTAAATCACGCAATCATCAAGACATATTTATTTTTGTTAATTAAAAACGCATTTTTAATACAAATGTAGAAGAAACTTTCAAGTGTAAAAGAACTTTCAAATGTTAAAGGAGTTTTTTATGGCATCTCGAAATAATGAATGAAGAGTGACTAATAGACAGGTTCTTGCTAATTTATATATATATATATATATATATATATATATATATATATATATATATATATATATATATATATATATATATATATATATATATATATATAATATAAGATTAAAAAAATAAAAAGCAAAGTTTTGATTATTAGTGTTTCTTTACCTATGAACCACCTGTAAGTTATTGTTATGACTTTTATTTTCATTGTAAATTTTTTTTTTCATAAAGTTTTGAATACTTTATATTATTTTAAAAATATTTTAGTTTAAGACTGTTTAGTCGATTACTACAGCAAAAAAGACTGTCAACTTGTGATTGCAAATACACTAAAACATGAACCTGGATGAAAAGAGGGCAAACGATGTCATTTGTTCGAAGAATCTTTTCTTCAAGGAGGAACAAGAAGTTTAATTTATAAAAATTCTTTCAAAATTATCGAAAATATATATTTTAAAACGTTTATTTGGTTTGATTTTTTTGTTGTTGTTGCTGGTATTTTTAATAAATACTGTGGCGTAAAAAGGAAATAAAATGAGTAAAAAAGTTATTAAACAACTAAAGACACTGTGGTGAAAAAACGATGTAACTCCATTTTTGCAAATTGTTCAGGAGAAAGAAAAAACTAAATAATTTTATATGTAGGGAATACGTATTTTTGTACCAAATTGTGTGTTTAATGACAAAAGAAGTGCTTTAATCTATGTCATTTTTATTCTAACTGATAGAACTTCTTTTATATACTAATAATCCGTTAAAACCTGAAAGTTGATAGAAGGTTGAGTTTTTTTTTTTTTTTTTTTGCACCCATATTTTCAATTAGGGATCGTCCATAAATTACGCAACGCTAAATTTATTTTAAAAATAAAAATAGGAAATCTTAAGCTCTTTTACGCAGCGATTTTCATTATACTTATGCGTTGTTTTGATTTTTTATTTAACTTAAGGCTCTGCGTGGGAAAACTTTTTACCTTTTTATTAGTGAAATTTAGTATTTTTTAATTTTATGGACAATCTCTTACTTTTTTAATTCGTCTGAAAACACGACTTATGGACGTCTCAAAGATATCTTCTTAATAACGTCCTAAAAAGACATCGTTTCCATTTTCTATTTAGCTTAAGTTCCGAACGTCATAAAATCAAGGCTTCATTACGATGTTGAAGATGTTTTGATAACGTCAAATAAAAAGCGTCTCAATAACTTACTAAGGTTACCTAAAACAACGCTAAGACATGATTTCAGTACATTGTTTGAACGTCTTTAATAATCAATTTTTGTAATTTATTAATTTTTAAGCAGCCCTCGAGCAGTAGTTAGAGTTCTGACCCAATCCAAAAGATTTGGATATTCCCAAGAACTATTTAAAAAGCTTAACATACATTATGTATAATAAGTAAACATTTATCGGCTTTTAATTTTCATGTTCAAAACTATATTTTAAACTTTTTTAAAAAGGAAAGTCATTATTTATCATCATAGCTAATTTAACAAAAAAGCGATTATAGCTTTTTTGATGACGAGAATAAATGAATATCAATTATTACCTTAACTATTTAATCTTTATTATAAATAAGTTGTAAAGCTGGATATTACACTTGTATATGTTTTCACACTATTCTCGTTTTACTAATGTGAATAATAATCAAGCTTTTATGGTAGACTTTTTCTTATGCATATTTAATAACCTTTTGTTTAAAAGATGCAATTAGTACTTTTTTATAAAGATTTTTACTCATTTAAAAAAACTTTAATTAGTACGGTCGACACTTTATTGCAGTGAGTGAATCCAGGTTTCGCTTTTTTGGTAAAACCCAGACCAAATATTAAAAATAGGCAGCCTCTTGTCTGAATAACTGAAAGTGAATCTAATTGAGCAGCGATCGACCGAAATTCTGTTTCGGACGAAATTTCAATTTGAACCTATACCGAAATTTCGGTTTCGTTACTTTTTATAAATTCGGTAAATAAACAAAATTTCGATTTAAATACATACCAAAAACAGAAAATCGGAACGTTAAAAGATGTCCTATCGATCTCATCTAAGTTATTCAGGCGATTCTTTCACACGTGTACAAAAGTTGAAATCCAGAAGCTGTTCAAAAAGAAATTTGATTAAAAACTTTACATTTTGTTTTCTCTTTTTTTTTCGAGCTGTTTACATTCGTAATTATTAGGTTACTCGCAAAAAAAGTTCTTTGAAACGTGTTGTGGTGACCCCAGCTAGCACACTAACGTGGTTTAAAAACTTCATAACAGTATACAGAACATCAAATAAATAAAATAATAAATGTTATTACCAATCAATCTGTAATAAAAATAATTAAATATTCAAGCTAAGTAATACAAATGCATATATAAAACTACTTTAGTTCATCCAAAGACAATCGTTATCTTGCTCTACAATCTTCATCTTTTCTCTTCCAGTAACTTCCAACACTAACTAGTGATTGCTTGCAGCCTTGTTGGAAGCGAAGATGTTTAAAAAAAAAAAAAAGTCTAATATCATTTGGAAGATGATGTAACTACATCTTGTTAAAATAATGCATTATTAGTTAATACTTTTTCCAAATGTAATTATATTCTGAAAAATTACAAATGTAATTACATCTTGTTTAAATAATGCATTATGTTGTTATTTTTTTCCAGATGTAATTACATCAGCTTACAATTAATAGCTGCTGTTTAACATTTAATTTATTTAATCTGTAAAGTAAACCTTTTTCTCAACAACTATTAAATTCTATATTTTTTGTTAAATCATTTATTCTTAATTAATTTTTTTTACTAAAGTTTCAAAAATAAATCAGTTTTTGCTTTTTTTTTTGTGGTTAACCTTCTACTTCTATTTAAAACATTTTAAAATAAATTAAAAAACCTAAAAGCTAGAAGTCTTTCAGCACATTCTTTGCTTATAAAGTTTCGCAACTTTATGTTAAATTTATGCAAGTTAAATTTTGATTAGATAAATTTAAATTAAAGTAAATAAAAATGTGTTTTAAAAAAAAAGGTTTAATCTAGCATAAACATTTGCTTCTACTTTACTCTGCAAGAAAATACTTTGCAATTAATTTTGCTAACTAAATTTAGATGCCGAATAAAATAAAATAAAAATTATCATCTTCACTTTCAACAATGCTGCAAGCAACCACTGGAAGTTACTGGAAGAAAAAAGATGAAATTTATAGAGCAAGATAACGATTGACAGACAACATTGATACAAAAGATTGTAAGTTATATGAATCAGGAAAACAAGATGAAGGGAGCGAATTCAAAAGAACGGATATTCGAGGAAAAAAAACTAGACGAATAAAATATTTTTGAGCACTTAGGAACAGTTACAGTAAAAGGAGGAGACTTAATTGAATGATAAGTAGCATAAGAATGAATTTTAGTAGATGGTACAAGAGATGCTAGCTCTTTAGAGCAGTGCCCATTATAGTGTTTATAGAAAAGAGAAAAAGAACAACATTACAACATTATATGATGAAGGTTATAGGTTGACTGTAAGAGCAGGTCCAACTATGTTTACAATGCATTTTTGCACTTTGTCTAAAAAAAAAAGGGCATCATTGGAAGATATGACAACAGTATTCATTTGGATTTGAGATTTATAATAATAAAGAATAAAATCTTGAGTAAGAAAGTGGGAAGCATGATAAAGAGATGCAGTGGCGGAACTTCAAAATTTGGGCCCCCCCGCAAAAGAATGTTTTTTTTGCGGAAAAGAGTTTTATAGTATAAATATTATTGAGAGTATAACTTTTTTTATATGAGGGCCCCCTATAGCTGGTAGGCCCCCCCGCAACGCAGGGTCCTGCGTCCAGTAGTTCCGCCACTGAAGAGATGCAACCTTAGCAGATACTAAATTTGCAATTGATTTGATATATGGTTTCCAAGAAAGATCAGAAGTGAGAATTAATCCGAGAAGATAACTCATCGAGTACATTACCATTTATAAATATAGGAGTATCTAGATAATTGCAACAACAATTAGCAGAAAAAAATTGAGTTTTACCCCATGCTGTAGCAGAAGTGAGATCCTTTTCAGAGAGTGTTGACTTCTTCCCAAGACAAAAATAAATAGTAATATCATCAGCGATCAATGCTATTTTAGATGTCAGGCTCGGACAGGAATGACTAGCGATCGAGCGCTATTGCTGACCATGCAAATGATTTTATTTTTTGACAACTTGACTATGACTGTTTACATGTTTAGATGATTTTTAAACATTTTAGAATAGCGCTGAAAATTTTAGAAAAGCTTGATAAACTTAATCTAGAAAGGAAATTAAAAAAAAATCATGAAAAAAGAAAACAATTTCTTACGTAAAAGAAAATATATAAGCAGTAAAATAAAACTCAAAAAACTTAAACTTAAAGCGAAATTTACTTTTTGTTATGTTTTTAATTGCGCTTAAAATAAATTAATTTAAAACTGGGAATAAACGGGTGGGTAGGAATTTTAGTCAAAATCTAATAAACGAGGGGGGGGGGGGGGGGGTTAATAAACAAGGGGGAGATGAGAGATTTTTTCTGAAATTTAATAAACGAGGGGGGGGGGGGGGATTTATAGTAGGAGGAGGATTTTATCTACAAAATAAATGTGCGGGTTTTTTTGTTTAAAAAAAAGGAACATCTTCTAGTTCTAGTAAATAGAGAGAGAATGTAATCCCCGTACCCCTTCTTACAACCCCCGTAGTAACGTACAAAAATAATTGACCAAAAGAAAATGTACGACTTTAAAAAAGGTTTAATTATCAATATTTATTAACTTTAAATAAAATATATAAAAATGATCTTTTTATTTAAATAGATCCTCAAAAGCGTTCCTGATTGAATCATTTTCATCGCGGTGTTCCACTTCATTTTCTAACTGTTTGTTGTCAAAGGCTTCAAAGTTGTTTTCAATACGGCTTTTTATGGCACAGCGAGATGTTATATAGCTCCGTTTCAATCTTGTAAGATGTGGAATAAATTGGGTAGATGTTTCTGCATTACATAAAAGTTTTCCTAATTCATCAATGAAAACAGCATCTTTTCTTAGATCATCATTGCCTTGACATAAGTCACCTAATAAAATGTTGGATGAACTATCGGTATTTAAATTCGATTGTTTTCATCTTTTCATCTTAAACTCGATTGTTTTCATCTTGATTTTCTAAAGCACTTGTTTCCAAATTTTTATCGTTTTCCTCATCTGTCTGATGCTCTTCATCAAGTTGATATATAATTAATGTTTCACCTTCACAATCAAATAATTCATATCCTTCATCTATCGGCTCTGTTTCACAAGTGTTTTGTCCTTGCATTCGTTTCACTCTTTTTGGAGGTGGAATTAGCCCCTGAAGATCTTTCAAGTTTCTTGGGCTTGGGGTAAGCATAAGTTTTTCCGAAATGCTTAAAGCTTTTCTCCTACTAAGGCAAATATTCTTTCCGAAACTAGATAATCCTCGCTTCCGTCT